GTTTCTAAAATAGATAGTATTTTTGACTGTATTTGTAATGTCTTGTTACTCTTTTCAAGAGTAGAGTATTTTCAAAAAAGCACAATATAGGATTTATTAATAGTCCTTGATATATCTAATACAAAGCTTATCTACAAAATGGTAAGCAACTTTAATCAAAATGTGTCTAGGTAACAAATTAAACATTAAATAAAATGCTATTCTATAAGAAAAGGGTAATTGCACTAGTGCTTTTAGTAATTCCATGGCACCAAGCATTCAAATAGCACATGCTGTGGAAATGACTTTATGTAATAAAGAATGGCTTACACACCATTTAAGTAGAAAATACATGTGTAAGATGGGAAGAATAGAAATGAGTCTGGGGGATCAAAAAAGCAATTGTGTTTAAATACTTTTGCTTGAAGCAAACTAATTTCATCAGTCTCTTCCTGAGCAAACACTGTTAAAGCACTGGTGTGGGAGGACTGACATACAAATAATCTAATTAAAATAACTCATTATCAAAGTTAGTTTTATTCAGTAATTCTTAAACATCTGAACAGTGGAATTTCACTGAACAGTGAATAAGAAATAAAACATTTCTTATCTTAGATAAAGATCTAAGATGTGTGTCAGAAATGTTATCTCTAAAATGTTAATTTTATAAAGACTTAAAGACAAGGTGATTCACTTCCTTTTATCTTTTTAGAGATTTTCAATATTTTCAATTAGAAAGTAACAATCAGATTTTGATTATTTTAGGTTTTAAAAATCTTTGTGATGTGATATTACTCTATGGCATAAGAATATGAGGAATGCTCTGATGAAATATTCTCTACAATACATTTAGAATCAAATGGGCAGCCCAGCATTTATTTCTCTACTTCCAAAAGAACAGACCACCAAAGTAGTTTAGAACACACTAGGTGGAGAAATTTAAAAAAGAAAAAAAGAAGAAGAAGAAGAAAAAAACATGATAACCAATCACACCCCTAAAACTGAATGGCAACCACTGTAGAGAAAGAAGGAAGGGTAAGCCCACAAGGAGGTCTTTCTACGGAGAAAAAGGGAAATAGCTAAGTACTAAGAGGTCACAAGGTACGTTAAACACATAAAAAAAAAAACCCACTCATTAAATTTAAAGATCTGGTTCTACAAGAGCAGCTTGTGTTACTAAAAGGCATACCATTTGTAGGTTTTCTTTTTAATTCAAAAAGATTTACAATATTACTTTCTGAAGCTTTTTTCCAGTTCTGTAATTTGATTCTAAAATGAGTGTTACCAAATGGCATTTAAACAAATGCAAAAATTAAAATGTGTCATTTAAATGTAATCCAAAAGCTGAGAATTTTAGCCTTACTTAATTTTTTTTGGCTTAGTTTACAAGAAATACCCCACTGTTTTAATCTTTAAATAAAATAAATTTATCATACTTCTCACTTGTTTTAACTTTTAAAGCAAAAACAATTATACTTCTCACCAGCATTACTGGTTCTTACTTAACTGCACTATTTACTCAAACCCCTTGTAATCAGCAACTGCCACAGCACCATATCCCAACCCACCTCCCTGTGGCACACCACACTCCATGCTCACTAACCAAAATGGTCATTTCTATGGAAGTTGAGGAATTAAAAAAACAAAGCAAAACAAAAACTGTAATTCTCACTGAACAGCTTTTAGACAAATAAAACAAGATACTAAAATATTGAGGGCAGCCTAAGTAAAATGAAAGTCAGAAATGAGATGACAAAATATCTAGTAATAAAGAGACATGAAACCTAGATTTGATTCAGACTCCTCCTCTTTACCAACTGTATTGGGAAATTCACTTAATTTTCTATGTCTCAGTTTCCTCACCTGTAAAACAAAGGGTTTGAACCTGATGATCAATCCCTAAGATCTCTTTTAGCTGTAAAATTCTATGATTCTATAAAATTTAAGTGAGGAAAAAAAAAATCCTAAAAATAAATAAATAAAATGAAGAGGTGATGGAAGGGTGAATGTGTGTGTGTAAGCATCTGTTCTTTCCATCTCTTTTCCCCTATGTTCATGACTAAACCCAATGCCTAACATTGAAACCACAGTTATGTTTTATCATCTCTATGTCACTAAAGTTATTTGTCCCAAATACAATGTAAAATTTAATCAAGTCAGGGTGCTTTAGTTTTATTGTAGAATGTACATCAATAAACTTGTCAGAAAAACAAAATAAGAAAATAAAAGAAATAGGGAATACAAATTCCTAGAAGTGGATATATTTAAAGTTGTTTTAAAATAGTAAAATAATTCAATGAGAAAGCAATGAGTTAGATGTGTATTTCACAGACAATGATTTTGATGCATTAATCACAGGCCAGCCAAAGGATTTTTTTAGCCTCAGTTTCCAAATTTGAATCAAAATGCAGAATAGCTGAACATAGCACTTGGATAAGTAGTAAACGGTAAAATCATTAAGTTTGCATGACTAACTTCAATGCGCTGTGATCAAGTAAGATAATCTCTTGGTAAATCAATTGTTTTATATTATGAAAAGAGGAAAATGACTCAATCTACACAAAAGCACAGTAAACACACAAACATTCCCTATTAAATTGATCACATAATAAATGACAATGCATGTTTTCACTTATTTAGCCATTAGTATCGTAAGGTATTTCGTGGCTGGAAGCGTCTCAACTGTGTTATTTTTCTCAAGCAAATGTTTAAAATTTTGCAAATATATAAGGGCCCCAAATCACATTCATTAATTGGCTATAACCTACTATAAATGAAATATGTAAACCTGACAGGGAATCTCAACTTAAAAGTCAAACTTACACTTTGAGAATTGACACATTTAGGCTGGTGTTAAGCACTTAAGTTATAAAAGATAAACCTGACTAATACTTTACTAATAGGTAAGGCTTTACAACATCTTTCAAACCTGGAAGAAGTGTATGCGGTTTTACCATAGATCATCCTTCAAACAGTGTCACAACAAGCCCTGAAAGCCTATATGTACCTTTAATTTGTAAGAAGGTTATGTGATTCACTGACAGAAGCTGTGCTGGTGATGGACAGCCAGGTAATGCTGATAGAAGGTGGTACCTGCCACCGAATAATAATGCTGAAAGCAGACATGAAAAACACACTTCTGTTCTAAGATACACCTTTCCCATCCTTATTTGATCTCACACCAACATAAAGACAGCCAATGACTTGCATTCTTTCTATACTAGAAAAGCATTACCTCTAGCTTTTCTAATCTCTCTCCTCCTCAAGAGCTACCTATGGTCATGTTTATTTTGGTACAGTGTCAACCTAGAAAATGACAATGAGTAAGAAATACACAATCTCCAGTTGAGATATGCTTTGCTCATGTAGACCCTAAAAATACAAACATTTCCTCTCACGCACATCATCCCTCATGAGGCATAATTTCCCAAGAAAAATAGTAAATGCTTCTTTGATAATTAGTAGGGGAAAAAAGGACAAAAAATAAGAACAACTTTTTTTCCAAGAGAGATAATCCTTGCACAAATTTGTTTTTTTACAAGTTGACGTTGCTCCTTGTCTGACTACACTTCTCTTGGATGCATTTTTGCTTAGTTATCCCTATCTAGTAACTCCTAAATGTTATCAGCCAGGCTGGGTTAGGCAGTCTAGAGGATAGCCCCCAAAACTTCTGGTTGAATTTACTACTCACTTCTAATACAATGGCAGTAGTGGTGAGATACCACTGCTGAGATTAGGTCATAGGAGACTATGGACAGTCTTGTGCACTCTTTATTGCTCACCCTATGGGAGCAATTTATTGTGTGAAAAGCCCATGTGGTAGAGAACCTAGGCCTACCAACAACCATGTGCATGCATTTGGAAGCAGATCCTCCTACCCCTCAGTAAGCCTTCAGATGGGATCAAAGTCCCCACCTGTAGCTAAACTACAAATTCATGAAAGGCCTTGGGTCAGAGGCTCTTTGCTAACCTGTAACCAAATCTCCATCCCACAGAAACTGTGAGATAATAAACATTTGTTGTTTTAAGCTGCTAAATTTTGGAGTAATTTTTTACCCCGCAATAGATAACTAATACAGTATCTCAGACAAATTATCAAATTAACTGGCTAAAAATGGGAAGTTTCCTACTCAACTTGAAAAACAGAATAAAATTTTCCTTCATTCTCAGATCTGGTCGATTTTGTAAGCCATTAGGGAGGTAAAAACCCTCCTATGCCATAAATATGGTCACCATACTCCAAATATTAAAAGGAGAAAGAAAGCAGAAATGAAAAACATAAATTAGCTTCACTTTGCAGTAGCAAAGATCATGATATATTGATTTGGAGAGAAACATCTAGGATCCTTGAAAATAAAAATTCAATTTGTTAAAATAAGTAGCCTCAGTCATTAAACTACTAATTACATACAGAACCTAAAAATAAAAACAAAAAAACTTGAATGAATGGTCATTGGAATTTATGTATAATACTTAACTGGAAAACCCGACACAGAAGAGAGTAGAGACCAGTTACAAAGAAACAAATAAGAGATAAATTAATAATCTGCCAAATTTGTAACACAAGTTTGATGGCTGAAGTACCCGGCAAAGCCATCATGATCTTAAGTAAAAGTGTTTGCATTCACATAACTGAAAAGTAAGTAAAGAACCGAAAACCGCCTATGCATCAAGAAAACACTCGACTTGAAAAGCAACACTTGGGCTAGAAAAGAGTAATCTTTGCCATTGTCGGCTTTACTTCATGATGGGGCTGGGACACCACCTTGGGTCCCAACTTAACCTATACTCCAGTGGCCTAGAAACACAAGGAACACACCTTCTCCCGCCTCCTGATACAGAGTCTACATTTTAACACGCCAGTACAGCTGTCACTCAAAGTGCTCTGCACTGCCATTGGTCCCAAAGTCTTGCTGGTTGGCAAGTTTCTGCCAACTGGCAAACACCGGTTGTCTTTATTTCCAAGAAGAAAAGCAAGGGCATGTAGAGAAAAGACGCAAGAGTTCTGAAATATCTTGTACCTGAGCGACCTGCGATCCCCACCGCCGCCGCGACGAATCGGCCTCTGGGCGGGGGCTTTTAGTCAAAAAGAAAATGGCTCAGCCGGGAACTGGTGCCCAGGCCATGGAGATGCCGGTTCAAACTTTACTTGTTCACGCCGGTGGAGGTATCAGCAGCGAGAATAGCAGAAGCAGCACAGGATCCCTCTGAACTCAGCGCACCTCAAGCTGCAGCAGCCAGAGCGGCCGCCTGTCCGACTTTTGACGTTTCCTATTGTTGCCGGAAGTGACGTTAGGGTTCTGAGCCTTAGAGAAGAAGCATTTTTATTCCCGGTGTTTACGATTCGCTATAGATTCCCCGTTTCTCACATCGCAACCCAAGCCACTTTAACCATCGACACTAGACAAAATTGTAATCTGCAACTTGGGGTCGGACTGGCTGTTGAAAAACCTCTCCGCAGAGTCAAGTCTCCTCAGCGGTCTGGACAAATGTGGTGTGGAATCTGCGGCGAGGAATCGTGAAGCACCGAGGAGCCGGCTGCTTTGAAGGTCTTCCCGCGGCGCGAGGCGGGCTTCGACCCACTGTTTAAATACCAACGGTCGACTCGAGAGGTGCGCGGAGGTGCAGGCGTCCGGCTGCAGCAAGTAGCTGTTGGAGGCTGGGCTCCGGTGGCTATCTCTGGTCGCATATGCTACCTCCCCCTCTCCCGGCTGTGAGGGGCCAGAGGCCTTCGGGGTCCTCTTTGCTTGGCGGCTGCTGGGGAAGCTGGCGAGAGTGCGCCCCAGGTTAAGCAGGGGAAGAAGCCTGTCTCTGTAGCCCTTACGGAAACCACGGAAGGGAGCAAATGACCAGGTCTGCCTTTTCATTCTTTTAAATCAAATGGAGGGAGGGGAGCCCTAGATATGCCTTGCCTATAAACCCAACTGGTATAGCGTTGTGATAAACAGCGAAATAGGAAGAATCGTGGTATCTAATTTTCTTAGTTTAGGGTGAGGGTTGGGAAATTACAGACCGATTCCTTCAGTTGGAACCTATGAGCTGAGGAAAGGATCCTACTCCTCCGAAACATTGACTAGAAGGAAGAGGTGAAAGTAGTGAGTTTTTCTTGCCTGCATTTCTTTGAGTTTCCTTATATCTCTGCTTTCTAGACAACTTACAGTTTTTCCCCCTCGCTGCGAAGAAAATCCATCTTGGTATTTTGATTCCGAAATTATGGGTACACAAGACTTTCTAAAATTATCCACAAATATTTTGTATTTTGAGCAGTTTTATAGGTGAACACAGCAGTCCTATTGAGCCATATTCTTGTCCTATACCCCCATTGTTTTTCGCCCAATTTTCTGTGTTTTCCCTTTTCTAGACCTTTCTACCTAACTCTTAGAACAGTATTTCCCCTAATACATTTTGAGAAAATTTCATAAACTGAACTTTACCTCTATCTACTCGATTTTTATATACGGTTTTTAGATAATATGTAGTGTTGTAAGATATGTCACAAACTCTTAGCCGTGGACTATATAATCATTAAAGTCAGTGTACTTGCTTTGTTCTGAAGAAAAAATCACTCTGAGTTCAATGGCATTCCATTGGGAGGAATCATTTAAGACTTATAATCACAATGAGATTGAGCTAGATTAAAAATCATAAACTGCTATTGTATACCCTTTTCACTATGTCTCCCCAATAAGTGTAGTCGAGCAGTCTGACTTGCAGAGAAAATTCTCTGGAGGATGCTGGGAAGCAATATTGAATCCATCTTAATGGTTGAAACTATGCTACAAGCAGAGTAATGGCTCTTTTCCCTTAATTTCTTTTAATAAGGGTTATAAAGGGAAAACATTAATCCTTTTTTAAAAAGTAAGTTATTTTTTCATTTCTGAAAGTACTGTGCTAAAATGTGCATGACTTGTAGATTGTCTTAATATCTTGGTTTTAGTGTTTTTCAGTTTCATAGTAGATTTAGCAAAGTCTCATGAAAAGGTAGAATAGTGGCTGTCAATTTTTGGTATAATACTCACTTTTTAATCCCTTTATTTTTTCTATCCTGTTCTATTATTTACCTCCTTCACCTACAGATCCAACCTGTACTTGTATCTTACTCTCCGTCAAAAATATTTATTCTGCTGATACTGAAGAGGATGTGTTCCAAGGACATACTTTGTTGTCAGAAAGTCCATTATCAGAGGTAGAAATAATATGAGACATTGATCTATGTTCCAGGACTCCAGAGAAGGGAAAGATACCATAAAGTGCTAAGTAAAACAAAATTACGTGTACTAAAAACATGGAATATATATTTGGAAGAATTAAAGTCTACAGAGGGAGATACAATTTATATTAAAGTTGTAGAATGCCTTAGGAAAAGGTACCCCTAGAAGAGTCATATTAAGGTAGGTGGGTCTGGAACTTAATACAATAAATACTATATTGGCCAGTGGCAGTACCTAAGAATACATATATTTTGCAGTTACAACCAGATTAATTCCCACTTCATCTTTCCCGGGAAAGTAAAGGCTGGTCTTGGGAAGTCCTTTCTTACTGCTTCCTTATGTCCATCTATCCCCTAGTCATCTTAAAAGATATTTAATAAGGCTTATCTTCTTGGCTAATGTTTTGTATAATGTGATTTCAGGATCACTTCTTTTTTCCTGTTGTCTCCCATTTGGCAGATATTCCCTTTACCTAAAAATGTGAATATTTAGTAGTAATTGATTAACTGAAAAATACTGACTAGAATCCGTGCATGAGCATATAAATTATACTCAATAACCTGTTCTTTACTATGTTGCTAAAGGAGAGGAGTCTTGGAGCAGGAAGATACTGTGTTCCTAAAGAGGGGGGGAAGCAGAATTTGGTGGCCATGGGCTTAAAATAGAAAGCCTACTAAATTTGGGATTTGCAAATTGCTGACCTTATTACCTCTAGTTATACATAAATACAGAGAAAAAGTGTAAGGGAATATTTTGTATCCTGTGCAACTGCTAGAATGTTGACTGGGGAAAAAGATTGTACTAACTCTACCTAATTTATGAATTGTTCTGTTTTGTTTTTAATGTCAATGACTTCATTTTAAAAGAGCTTCATTCCCAGAGGATTCATTATTCAAGGTATTGTTATAAATTTTCCTTCTATGGAGTGTCCATGGACAGTTACAAATAGATCTTTTTAAGTGTGTTATTGGGCACTGCCTTACTGATTGACTAAACTTAGAGTTTAGAAGCCTTTTAGCTCTTTCTAGCAGATTCTTAACCATTTAATTACCTGTCAATATTTATTTATTATATGAACCTCTTTTGAGAATAGTCTTCGAGAATCTAATGAAAGCCCTACACCATGCAATGAGTCATTTAAAAATATAATCCCATGGTGTTTTCTTTGGAATTTAAAAAACTATTTTATTTAAAATCTCAAATAATGTTTCTGTCTTTTGGTGCATATATACATACCATACTGTTTCATACATATGTTCTCTGGAGTTGTATTCCTATTTCATAGGCCCTTTATATGTCAGCTTTAGTAGATAGCACCATAAAGTTTTCTAAAGTAATTATGCTAATTTACCCTTCCAGAGCATTATATGAGTTTCATATGTTCTATAGTTTCACATTTTGGATTTAGTTTGGAATTCCCTAATGATAAATAAGATTGCGTATCTTTTCACATGTTTACTCTTGTGAAGTTCTTGTTCAGGTCTCTTTCCCGTTTTCTATTGTCTTTCCTTTTCTTATTGCTTTGAAGGGAATTCTTTACATATTCTAGATATGAATTTCTTTTATTGGTTTTATAGCTCTATCGCAACATTTTCTCTCAGTGGTTTATCTTTCCACTCTCTTGAAGGTGTCTTTTGATGAACAGAGTTGCTAATTTTAATGTGGTTCATCTTAATAGTTATAAGATAAGAAATCTTTCTCTACCTAAAGATCAAAGATATTCTCCTCTATGATCTCCAGCAAACCTGGTTGTCTTACATTTTATGTTTAGATCTTCAACAAACCTGGAATTAATTTGGTAAAAGATGTGAGGTACCATTTACATCAAGGGGTCAAGATTTATTTATTCTATCTGGGTATTAAGTTGACACAGTACCATTTATTGGAAAAGACCATCTTTTCTCCAGGGCTACTCAGCATCAACTTTGTTATAAATCTAGTGTCACTATAAGCATTGTCTTTTTCTGGACTTTTCTGTTCCATTGTTTTATTTGTACATTTTCACTAATTCCAAATGTAACTTTATAATGAGTCTTGATATCCAGTGGTTAAGTCCTCCAATTTTGAATTTTATCAAGATTGATAGTTATCCTTTATCTTTTGCATTTCTGGATACATTTTCAAATCAGCTTGTCAATTTCCATTAAAAAAAAAAAACCCTTGAGAGTTTTTTTGAAGGGGGAAATTCATTGAATCTCTGGATCAATTTTTTGAGTCTTCCAATCCTTAAAGACGTTGTATACTTTTTCTATTTATTGCTTCTTTAATTCATCTCAATAAAGTTAGGGTTTTTTGTTTTGAGGTCTTAAACATCTTTTCTAGATTTATTCACATGTTTGTGATACTTTTGAGGCTACTTGATTTATACATAGAAAATCTGTTTTTAAAATTATACAATTACTTGGGGGATACAGAGAAGTACAACTAGTTTTTATGTATTGGCCTTCTATCCAGCAGTCTTGCTAAATTCACTTATTTCTTTTGGACTCTTTTATTATTTATTTTATTCACAGTTAATGTCATCTGTGAATAAGGACAATATTATTTCTTCCTTTTTAGCATTTATTCCTTTTATTTCTTCTTCTTGCATTTTTGTACTGTCTGTGACCTCTAGTACCAGGTTAAAGAGAAATGATGAGAGGGAACAAAATTCATTCCCAGTCTCGGGAAGAAGGTTTCCTTTATTCGCCATAAAGCATGATGTTTGCAGTAGGTTTTTGTTTGTTTTTGTTTTTGGTTTTTTTTGGTAGATATCCTTTATCAAATGCACACAATTCCTTCTTTTCTAATGTCCTAAGAATTATATTATGAGCGAATGTTGAATTTTATGAAATGTATTGGTAGGATAACACTTTCTCCTTTACTTGTTAATGCACTGACATTATAGTAATTCATTTTTTGTTTTGCTTATATTTTGGATTATAGTCCAATAGTATTCAATTAATTTTGTCCTTCAGATAGTTTTACTTTTGACCATTGGGAACTGTTTCATTTGTCTCCTGTGTCCTGTTGACATATCCCCATCACATGGGGATTGGTTTATTTTGTGTATACATTCTCACTTTCTGGAACTATGTAATACTTTAGACTCATCTTGTATATGTTCTGTCCCAGCCTTAGAATTAACCATTTCTACAGAGAGTCCTTGTTCCTTTTATTGGAGAACATTATACACACTAACATTATACACACTAAGATTTGAATGTGAAGTGTGTGATCTTTACTGCTGGGGTGTTGTTGCTTTTAATCACTTTCAGCTGGCAGAGGAAGGCAATACGTATATATACTAGCTGTCTATATACACTTATGGAGAAATACTTCAGTATGTAACTTTGTATCTACATTAAGCTGAACATGAGTTCATACTGGAATTTTCTAACTCTAATGCATTAGGCAGGCATGGCTCATTCTAGTCTCCTCTGTTTACTGATCTATAAATTCCTACTCTAGCAATAAGAAACGTGACTTCTGTTCTGCCTTGTTTACTTAATTTTTCAGTTCCCAGTGTGTGTTACTGGAATTGTAGTAACTCATGCACAGATGTATCAGACTTAATGCATAAGTACATGGGAAACAACTTTCTAAACTTACATGTAGTTTATAAACCAGCATACAGTGTTTATATGCAAGTGGTTTTGTCTTTAGCCTTGCACTCATTTCCAAAGTTACTTAGTTAACATCTTTTCCATGCATCCCCTTCTATGAGGTTGTTTCCCAGTTTTTAAATGGTGTTTTAAAGGTTGCATACGTTAGGATTCTCTTTGTGCTATCCTGTTTTATAGGTTTTGACAAATGCATACTGTTGTGAATCTACCACTGCAGTATCATACAGAATACTTTCACTACCCTCAAAAATTTCCCTAGGCTGACTTATTCAGCCCTCTCTTCTCCTTCCCTCTGCGTCCTTGTTTAACCACTGATCTCTATTGTTTTCACTTTCACTACAGTTTTGTCTTTTCCAGAATGTCATATAATTAAGATCGTACAGTATGTAGCCTTTTCAGACTGGTTTCTTTCACTTAGGAAGATGCAGTAAGGTCCATCCATGTCATTTTGTCGCTGCTCATTTCCTCATTGCTGACTTAATATCCTGTTGTATGGATGTACCACGATTCTTTGCATCCATTCACCAATTGGAGGACATTTTGGTTGCTTTCACTTTTTGGCGATTATGAATAGAGCTGCTATAAACATTCGTGTGCAGGATGTAGGGTGCATACTTTTTAAGTTTGATTTGGTTGATACCTTGTTTACCTGATTGCTGATTGTATTGGTAAGACTATTTAGCTTTGTATCTGCTAAACTGCCCTCCAAAATGACTGTGCCATTTACATTTCTTCCAGCAATAAGTGAGAGTTTCTGTTGTTCCATATCCCATATGCATTTGGTATCATCAGTTTTTTGGATTCTAGCCATTATAATAGGTCTCTCTCTTTTTTTTTAAATTTGCAATTACCTAATGATATGTAAGACTGAGGATCTTGTATGATTATTGCTATATGTATGTCTTCTTTGGTGAGATGAATGTTCAGATATTTGCCTATTTCTTAATTGGCTGGGTTTTTTTTTTTTTTTTCCTTGCTCTTGTAAGAGTTATTTGTATATTTTGGGAACAAGTCTTTTATTCAATATGTATTTTTGTAAATATTCTTTCCCAGTCTGTGAACTATTTTTTCATTCTCTTGACATGTCTTTTTAGAAAAGAAGTTTTACATTTTAATGATATACAACTTATTTTTTAAACATTTGATAATGCTCTGATATTACCTAAAAACTCATAGGTAAACCTGGGGAAGCAGAGAGATAGTTGCTTAGCTGAACAAAATATGTGGGAGGGGATGTGGGGGGAGAGAAAATAAAAATCTAGGGTTTAGCAGCTCCTACATGGACTTTGAAATAATCATCCTTATTTCAACCCCCTTGGCCTTACCCCTTAGCCTTTCCTAAGCATTAGAGGCCCTTCATTTCTGGACTTATCTTGCGGCTGTTTGTTTCCTCTTAAATGGGCAGATAAAATTAGCCTGTCTCTGCTTTGCTAGGTTGGTTTTCACTTAATCATCTGCTTTCCATCTTCCAAAACTTTGTTGATACTTTCTGTCATGTGGAATCCCCTCTAATTCATTTTGCCCTGTTGAGTGTATATGGGTTTTAATCATTTACTTTCATTTTAGTGATGTTTAAACAAAAGAAATAAAGATAACATGCATTTAATCTGCCATATTTTACAAGGCGAATCCTAATTTTTTTTTGACTAATCTATTTTTATTTTTTAAACAAAACATCTTATTGGCAACTATATGAGATCAAAGCCCTGGGAATAATGACTAAATCTGTAATAAATTTCTTTGTCTTCATTTTTTACTGATTTTATTATGTAACCATTATAAGCATCTAAGATAGCCATTGATGGAGATTATTTCAGGTTGATTTCTCTCCCCAAATGGTACTTTGTTAAAAATAAACTATTAGGGAGAGTATCATGAGACACATTGTAAGAATATGAACATAAGGCAAACTTATTTTTTTGTAGGGAAAAAGTATTTGGGGAAAATGCATTATCTTATATTTGGGAATATACTGTAGATAGATGATAGCACTGGACCAGTAGGGAAGATAAGTTAGTGGAGAAATAGCTAAGATAAGTATGGTAAGTGTAAGAGATGTGAACAAAATATAAAAGATTCAGAAATAGACTTAACCATGACCTGTACCCCTTGGGATAAAAATACATTATATGTTTATAAAAAATAAAAAAAATAAAATTAAATTAAAAAAAAAGAAATAGACTTAAGAAGTGTTTTATGGATTTTTATTTTTAGGTGAAATATTAGATTATTTCAAAAGCTGGAGCCAAATGTAATGTTAAATAATGGCAACAGGTGACTTAAAAAGAAGCTTACGGAACCTAGAACAAGTTCTTCGTTCACTAAATTATCCTCAAGAGGTGGATTGTGTTGGGTGAGCTATATATCAAACTTATTTGTGTTCTTTTTGATAATGATTTGAATTAAGATTGGACATTAAGGGTCTATCTAAGTAGAGACAGGTTTTACTGGGTTGTTTAAAAATTTTCCTTGAAATGATTAAATGTTTTAGAAGGCAGGGAATTACAGGAGTTTTTTGCTAAGTATGAGTGAAAAATTCTAACTCAAGAGGTTTAAAACACCTTTTAGAAGTAGAACCACGAAATACAGTGGTACAAGGTATGGTTTCTATACAACTTTTAAACTCATTAAAGTAAAATGGCTCTCATTAATTATATAATTTGCTATCCTCTCACATTCAGTTAGATGGTATTTTTGATTCGGAAGATTCTAGTTGACGGGTTTCTTATGACAATTTACACCACATGCTAAGATTGTTATTAAGCTAACTCATTTAATAGACCCCACTTGAACCTTTCGCTATAGTTTTCACTTTCCAAATATGACTTACTTGCTTTTGTAGTATGTAGCAACTTGCATTTCTTCTATATTCATGCTTATCTAAATATGGTACTCTCATCATCTACCCCTTCATATTTCTTTTCTCTTCTTACTTGGGATTACTGATTAAAAGTTTTCCCCACTATGGGGCGCCTGGGTGGCTCACTCGTTAAGCATCTGCCTTTGGCTCAGATCATGATCCCAGGGTCCTGGGGTATGTCCGTCCGGCTCCCTGCTCAGCAGGAAGCCTTCTTCTCCCTCTCCCAATCTCCCTGCTTGTGTTCCCTCTCTTGCTGTGTCTCTCTCTGTCAAATAAAGTATTCCCCACTAGAATATAAGCTGAAGACTGGGACTTTGTTTTGTTCATCACAGTATCCCCACATCTAGAATTGTGCCTTTAGAGCTAACTAGACATTCAATGAATAAGTGTCAAGGGACAAGTCCAGATTAGCTATATGTTCAAGTAGTAGAGTAAAATTGGTTAAAACAGTAAAAAAAGAGAATCTTAGAATAATGTGCTTTACATGTAAGCGTGGATGTTCTAGGGATGTGCTTTACATATACATGTGGATGGACCATAGGGAGAGCTAACCCCAAGAGATGGCAAAATGAAAGGATAATGAGGACCATGGGAGAAAGTTGAGCTCTAAAGACGGATTCCAGGCCTTCTGTGTGAGAATCAGAAGTTGCTCCACAGCATGTACCAATCAGATCCTGCTTCCTTAACACAGGGACATGCTATGTTGTTGTCTCGCTGGGATTTAACCAGTTTGAATAGCCACATTTTCTTCTTCCTACTTGAAGCATCATTTTAAGATACATTCTGGATAGGAATACTTGGAAAATGTACCAATTATTCCACTATCTTTTGAGTTTGGAATTTAATATTTGATTTTTTAGCTGACTCAGGAATATCATTAAGAATAATAATTTTTAGACTGTTTCACAACATAGTACTCTGCAGGGTCTTTTGAAATAAGTCACATTACTTGCAGCTGCTTATTCAGGGTGCCCCCCTCACCCACAACACACTCCACCACACGTGTTTTGATTCTTATATTTCTTACTCATTTTTAACCTTTTTCTCAGCATCTCCTGTTAGTCTGCTAGTTTATAACTGTTTATTACTATTTCTAATCAAATACCCTAGAAACTATATAATCAAGATTTTTGAATTAAAACAAGTGGTATTAAATGTAGACCCCAGCTGCCTTATAGTCATAATGTGCATAAAATGGACAGATTTTGCTGTTCAAAAGTATTATTTTCATTTCCTGTTTTGAGCTAATACACAAGGTTGCTAGAATAGTTTTCTCATTGGGTAGAGTATTATCATATGTATAAATGTAAAAGAAACAATTATATTTGTCTTGAAAAATAAAATGTTATTTTATCATTGTATACTTGTTCTCTGCCTTTTAAAAAAGTTTCAGGTGAGGATGGGGAAATTTATGTATGTCTTGAATTTTGTGGAAAACGAATGTTTTCTGTAAGTGCATTTTTACTTCCGTCGGACACATATAACTGGCTAATTGAAGAAATACCTCCTTGCTTTGTTGTGGGAGAATCAGTGAAGATACTTCCCATTGAGAAAATAAGGTCCATATGTAGACAAGTAGAAAAGAGTACAAGACAGAGCCTAAGGCATCAGAGACTGAATGCCCTGGGACTCATTCTGTGAGAGATCAGTGTGGATCAGAAAATTGAGGGTGGCTCTCTGGGAGGCTTGAGATCTGCCAAATAGTTCATAAGAGGGACTAACAGGCCAAGAAGAATGGGATACCGTTCTAGGCTGGAGAAATTAGCATACTCTACCAAGGCACAGATTTCTGCTGAGCTTGATACAAGTGGAGGATTGCAAACTAATCAGCCCAGTTGCAGTAGATGCCTTTTCCAGCCTGTTTCCCCTCTGTAACGTAGAATTCATAATATTTTACCCTTGCAGGTTTATCATAAAGAGCAAATGAGGTAATGTAACAAGTGTTTGCAAGTATATTCAAGTGGTTTACTTGTTTAATTAGAGAAAATGGACTGATCAAGTAAGACTAAGCTTTGGAAACTCAAAATACTGTGGTAAATAGACTATACTATTACTAAACAGCTAACTGCTTAATTAAATGAACTTATTTCATAGTAACTTGGCTATAGTGAGTTAGAGTAGGAGATGGAATCTAAAGCGTTTTGTGTATCTCCTAATTATTTGGCTGTAGTGTTAATTTACAAATTATTGACACCATATTTTATATTTCCTTTCTTATCTGAGTTTGTGGTATTATGCTCATTAAGTCTTTCCCTTTTCTCCTGAACAGTTTGGTAAAGGGAGATACAGCAGCATCTTTGCCCATCATCAGCTATTCCCTTACCTCATATTCACCTTATGTAGCAGAACTTCTGATGGAATCCAATATAGAGCTCATAGCGAAGAATGACTTGCGCTTTATAGATACCGTCTATAAGGTATTTTTGAGTTTATGAAATAATTCTTTCAGAAGTCATTGAATGATTTTTTTAAGAGTAATGTTTTATAACCCCTTAATTAAATGTGAACCACATCTGTTTAACAGTATTTTGATATGTATTTCTCATTTAGACGCAGTCCCTATTATAATCAAGATAATTTAAGTTCCCATTATGTTTTATAATCTAATAAGTGGCACTTGGTAAAAATTTGTCATTGGTTACCGTTTGTTCTTTTTATATCAGAATTTTAGTAATATTTGGCATATTGGCAGAATTTAGAAATGTGACTTTATTGAGTAAAATTTGTAGTTTATAGAATTATGACTACTGTAATTAGTAAGAGGAAACTATAACTTTGAGATTTTATGTTCATTGATGTCTGGAACCATGTCTTATATCTAGTCCAGTATCTATATCTATACTGTATGTACACTGAACTTAATCTCACGAGTAAAAAATACCTCCAGATTATCATTAATTTTTACTCAAGCACTGGTTTTCTCACTTCTGTTAATAAAACCCGTTTATCAAATCTAATATTTTTTAAATAACCAATTGCATTTGATGAAATGGTACCTTTTATGTGTAGAGTCTCTTTTTAGTCTTCCCTGTCTTTGCCTCTAACCCCAACAAGCTTCCATGGAAACCTAAGAGGCACTTCTAAGAAATCCTAGGGTTCTACAATGTAGGCTTTGAAAAATGCTGATCTACTCTATTTCTTTTGCTTTACAAATGAGACATTGAAACACAGAGACCTACTGACCATGTTGTGGAGGAATTAAATTATGATTTTTGTGACATCTGGCATGGTATTATTCTTTATTATCTAGTAAGTTAAGGAGTTTTTCTAGTACCAATGAGGCTATTTGAACTTGTTGATCATTTACTATATTTTTTCATCTTCCTAGATAGTCATCTATTCTCTGCTGATTCCTATGTGAATACCTATCTCCTCCTATGACTCATATCACCCCTATGAATCTCTTTAATACCCTTAATCTAATGGCTTGGTCCTTCTTTTCCTCTCAAAGATGTTATTACATTCCTGACTGGGTGGCCATTTATGATTTTTGGATTTTGGTCTATTCCCTCTTTACAGCTTCTTCGTGATCAATTTAATTATAAACCAATCTTGACAAAAAAGCAGTTTCTCCAGTGTGGATTTGCAGAATGGAAAATTCAAATTATTTGTGATATTTTGAATTGCGTGATGAAAAAGCACAAGGAATTGAGTAGTCTTGAGAAGGTAATTTTGTTAATTGATTTTAACTTACTCCAAGTAGCCCAGTATTTTAATGTATGAAGTCAGTATCCTAGATAGCAAACTAACACAGATGTACAATTACTGGATAACCGTACACCTGAATGTTTGCTTTAAATACTGGTCACTTGTTTTTACACATTTGTGACTTTGAGCTACTAGTCCTAAGCTAACTGTTCTGACAACACATTTTCTTCACATCTTAGTTTTCAAAAGACATGTATGTCTCATTAGTTTCTTATCATTTGGCAGTTGTATTCATATATGAACATTTAAATAATATAATTTAAATATATGTCAGCTTTCATATAAAATAAGTCTTAATATTTTATTTTTTTTAAGATTCCCTCACAACAGAGAAAGAAAGTCAGTTCTGTTAAGTCAGAACCTTCTTCAAGCACTGAGAAGACATCTACAGAACCTGTTGGCATTGACATCACTGGCCGGTTTATGACTTCAGGAAAGGTAGAAAAATAGAAAGAAAATGTGTTAGTGCTAAGAATTATCTACCTAATTAATCAGTGTACAAGTTTCACTTTTCTGACTGGTAGCTAGTAAAACATTTTAGTCAGGGGCACCTGGGTGGCTCAGTGGGTTAAGCTTTGCCTTCAGCTCAGGTCATGATCTCAGGGTCCTGGGATCAAGCCCCTCATTGGGCTCTTTGCTCAGTGGGGGCCTGGTTCTCCCTCTCTCTCTCTGCCTGCCTCTCTGCCTACTTGTGATCTCTCTCTCTGTCAAACAGGTAAATAAAATCTTTAAAAAATAATCAGATAGTAAAAGATTTTTAACAATGTATACCATATTATCCAGAGGACAGTCCTCACATTATAAGAGGTTAGACATGTAAAATTGACGAATGTTTCTCTTTATGTTTCTAATGCTTACTTCTGTCTCATTGCCCAGGTAGAATAACAGTGATTTGGGAAGGTTATGTTACGTGGTCTTGACCTGTACTCTTAATTATGTATCTAGTTTTTTGAAAACATGGGAATGTTTGAAGAGCATACCATTACTTATAGTGATAGGTTATGATGATTCATTTGCATATGTTCATATTTTGATACCAGGAGTGTATATTATCCAGTGATTGATAGTCCCTACACATATAATCTGGTTTTGGGTTAGGTTTTTGAACATTTTTTTTTTTTTGTTAATAAATAACCTACCCTTGTCGCCTTCGAGCACTAGCGGATGAATGAGTCTAATGCCTTTAGAGATAGCTTTTCTATCTCCAAGAGACATTGAGGCCAAAATATTACTTTATAACAATTAGTATATTTTCAGCTGTCTTTCTCTTTGGGCAAACCATTTCTGAAATTGAAGGATAGAATTATCAAATAATCAAGGTATAATTAGGTAAAAGATATGAATAGTTTCTGATTGAGATAAAATCTAGAGAATTATTTCTCCCTAGTCAAAACTGCATGAGTTGTATTAATAGAATCTATTAAAAGTAGAATCTATTAAAAAATGACATTTTACTGGGGGAGAAATGTTCTTAATTACTTTTTTAAATATAACCATTTTGCAACATGTAAAAGAGCAATAAGAAAAGGAATTAAGAGACACATTGTTTCTGAATAAGTGCCCATACTTCTTGTAAACTTGAATCTCTAACTTATCTAACTCTTGTTAGTTTTATATTTTATTTTCTAATTTCTAAATGGTTTATATATAGTGTCCCTCCCCAACTAGAATTTATATGAACAGGAATTTTATTATACAGCTTTTTTTATAACCTTCCTGTCCTTAGCACAGGCACTGTAAGCACTTACTAAATATGAGCTGATAAAACTAAATATATTTTTCAATCTGCTATTTCAGTTTTGGGGCTGAGTAATGATCTAAATTGCCCCAATAAGGTGCAAAACTTAAAGGCATTAAGTTTGTTTTCGTTTTCTTAGAACAAAGTATTCTTTGTCATTAATAAAAATTTATTTATTTAAAAAGATTATCTATTTATTTGTCAGAGAGAGAGAGAGGGTGCACAAACAGGCAGAGTGGCAGGCAGAGGCAGAGGGAGAAGCAGGCTTCCTGACAAGCAGGGAACCTGATGCAGGGCTCGATCCCAGCACCCTGGGATCATGACCTGAGCCAAAGGCAGCCGCTTAACCAACTGAGCCACCCAGCTTTCCCTATTAATCAAAATTTAATCAGTGCCACCAGATCTTTAATTAACAGAAATTTGAGTAAATTTTAAAAGTATTCCAACTTAGAAAAGTTGGAAATAAATAATCTTTCCAACTTAGAAAAGTTAGAGTCACTACTTTATGGGTAGAGATTGAGTCAATACTAAAGCAAATGGTTTCTTTTCCCAGTATCTTCTCTGTAGAATATGATTTGTGAATTCTATCGTACATTATATGACATCTTTATAGTGCATATGCAGTGTGTCTGTAGTAGAGGAAGTAGGCAGAAAAGGCTTGTGTGAGTGCATAGTTTGACCTCATGCCTTACTCTTAGGACTTTCTCTTTGTCATTATTAAGTTTGAATTATTAGATGAAGGTCTAATATTTTCTGGCTTGTTTATTAGAAAAAAAATTGCAGTGGTCTCCTTCATGGAGCCAGTTCTTGATTATTTATATGTAAATTATGTGGCAACCTATTATGGAATGTTCCAAACATTCATAAAAGTACTCATTCCCAGGGAGCCTAGGTGGGTCAGTTGGTTAAGCATCTGCCTTGGGCTTGGGTGATGATCCCAAGTCCTGGGATTGAGCCCCACATCGGGCTTCCTGCTTAGCAGAAAGCCTGCTTCTCTTTCTCTCTCTGCTTGCTGCTCCCCCTGCTTGCTCTCTTTCTCTCTCTCTGTCAAATAAATGAATAAATAATCTTTTAAAAATTACCCATTCCCACTATTAGAAGTTTATCAACCCCTCCTTAATCTTTTTTTTTTTTATTTTTTAAAGATTTTATTTATTTATTTGTTAGAGAGAGAGAGAGAGCACAAGCAGGGGGAGTGGCAGGCAGAGGGGGAAATAGGCTCCCTGCTGAGCAAGGAACCTGATGTGAGACTTGATCCCAGGACCCTGGGATCATGACCCGAGCTGAAGGCAGACTCTATTTTTTTTTTTTAAAGATTTTATTTATTTATTTGACAGACAGAGATCACAAGTATGCAGAGAGGCAGGCAGAGAGAAAGAGGAGGAAGCAAGCTTCCTGCTAAGCAGAGAGCCCGATGTGGTGCTCAATCCCAGGACCCTAGGATCATGACCCGAGCCGAAGGCAGAGGTTTTAACCCACTGAGCCACCCAGGCACCCCAAAAGGCAGACTCTTAACTAACTGAACTACCGAGGGGTCCCAGCCCGTCCTTAATCTTGTTTCATCTTTATTGTAACCACTTTTCTAGCATCTTTCCCCCCAAATCTGAAACAATGAGTCAAATCCCAGACATCATTGAATAGGTATTTCAGTTTTTCTGGTCCATGAGAATGCTTTAAAAATCAGGACTACAATTTCATCATACAAAATATTAGTAATAGTAATAACAGTTTAATCAATAGTGTTTGATATATACCTTAATATGTTACTTAAACTTTGGTAAATCTTAAAGGGAAGAAAGATATTTCTTCTGAAAAGTTATTGTGTCTATGTTTAAAATAATTTTATGAGGAAACCATTGAAGCAGCTCTGATGTATTTTCCTTTATGCAGAAAAAAGCTGTGGTGATCCGTCACCTGTATAATGAAGATGGTGTTAACATTCCTGAAGATACGATAAGTACTGTAACAGATGTTAGTGAAACATTTGATGTGTGTAACTTAAAGACTACTGAAACAAAGATTCCTGAAGTAAAGTTCCCTGAAATCAAGTCTGAACAACAAGTAAGAATTTTGGTCTTCTTTAACAGATGCAAGGATTTCTTGCTTTGATGTACATGATTACTTCAGCATCTAAACTTTGGAATGCCTCTAACCTTTTGAGTCACGAATCATAATATAACACCTTTTACCATTATTTAAGAATAAATAAGTGTACTGTATAGGATCAACAGATACTATTTGCTGCTTATGTTTAGGGTCCTGGACCAGGTGTTACGGGTAAGAATTTACTGCTTCAGGGAATTTACACTGGTGAGAGACTGTAATATACTATTTTGTACAGTGAGGGTTCTGTTGTTTATCTATGCCCGTCATTAATGAATGAAAAACTAGTATACTCATGCCATTTCATTTTCCTTTTTGGGCCCTCACCGTCCCTCTCTCACTCTGAGAATACCTTTCCTATTACTTTATTGTCACAGACTCTATTATAGTGTCTAATCTGTATTTCTCCTGCTTAAACTTTTCTTTCTTCTCTTTCTTATAACTTCTCTACATCACAGTATACAGTTGTCCCTTATAAAAATTAACACAGGGTCATGAAGCTTAATTCCTTTTTGTAGCAAACTGAACAGTCTCAATGCACTGTCATTTCTTTGTCACTCCCTCTAAGCTTTGTGCTAGGGGCTTTTACAAAAAAGTTTGTGACAGTTTTCTCATACCACCAGGTGTTGTTCTAAGAGCTTCATGCAAATTAATTTAATCCTCTCAGGAACCACGTAAAGTAGGTACTGGGTTGTTTTTTTGTTTGTTTGTTTGTTTTAACGTATATAAGGAAATTGAGACCCCAAGGTCATACACCTCAGATGAGGTAGTTTCAGTGTCTGAGCATTCTATCTCTCCAGATCGCACTCAATTCTCACACTATACTGCCTGTTGTAACTACTGAAATAACACAGTACACTGAAAAATGGGATACATTGAATTTTAAGGGAATTTTAGTTGGTGTAGTATAATTTTTAACCTCTGTATTCGTTTTAGGATGTTCAAATCAATCCTGAGATTACTGTACTACAGACTATGCTTGTTGAATGCCAAGAAAAGCTTCAGAAACTGACTTTGGTAGAGAGTAGATTAGACTCTTTGGAAGAAAAAATGAAAGGAAAAGTGATGGTAAATGAAAAAATGTGGACTAATCTTCTAAGTCGTATCACTCTTCTTGAAACAGAAATGCTTCTGTCTAAAAAGGTATTTTCTTTCCTTAACATTTCTAGGATCTCAGATACAATTAAGTTTTCATTCATTGTAAAGTGTGTATTCTTTTAGAAAAGCTAATTATGATAATATTAAGGTAGTGGATACATAGTTGAAATGAGGTTTTGTTTGGATACAGCCTATTTTGTTGCTGTTGTGGTTATTGTTTTTCTCTTTATCAACTAAGATAACCTAGCAAAACTCTCTAGCTTCCGCTTTCAGAGCTGTTAATACTTGAACAGCTCTAAGCATTTAAAATAAGGTAAGATAATGTTTGATTTTCTTTTTAAAGATTTTATTTATTTATTTGACACACAGAGAGAGAAATTACAAAGTAGGCAGAGAGGGAGGCAGAGAGAGAGGGGGGAAGCAGGCTCTCCGCCGAGCAGAGAGCCCAATGTGGGACTTGATCCCAGGACCCCAAGATCAGGACCTGAGCCGAAGGCAGAGCCTTAACCCAGTGAACCACCCAGGCACCCTAATGTTTGATTTTTATGAGAAGCTTGAGATTGTATTCTTTAGTAGCCTAAATGGCCTATTTTTATGGAGAAACGAAAAAATGGACAGGAAGAATTAAAATCATGACTTCCTGTTTTTATTCATTTGCTCTGATCAAATTATAAATTTCATAGAAACAGTTAACCAAATTTGCCATGGTCTTATCAAATCTAAGAAATTTGTTTTTTTATTTACTTAGGATTTCAATTTCTGGTTCAGTTAAAAATGTTTAAACATTCATCATGTCATCTTTATATTTATGCTTAACAGTAAGAATATAAAATGAGTACATTTTTCTTTCCATTTTATTCTAAATACTAATCTGTATTATTCTAGAATAATGAATATATAGACTTCAGTGAAATGAATGAAGACTACGAATCTAGTAACGACATGGATATTCTGAGTCCCGGTAAGTTCTAATGTTATGGCAGTGGTATTGGTGGTATGGCAAGAAGTTTTCAGGAGGATGATTTATATAGGTGTTTGATAATTTTTATATTCCCAAGCCTTATTTTTTAGAAACTGTGGCACCCCTAGAACAAAAACAGTATTGAACTTACAGACTACTGAAGCCAAGCATTGCTAAAAAAAGCCAGCTTACATATCTTATATGACATAGTGGTTTGGGCACTAAATTTATTAGACTACACATTTCAGATTTGGTAAAATGTTTCCTCTCTGCATTTGTCATTGATTTATTCAAAAAATTCCAAAGCTTAACTGTGAGGTCCTTGAAATCAAGATCTTACCTTGTATTCTGTCTAGCAGGCAGAAAATAGGCCCGTATTTCTATCTCCAATATCTGTATATAATAGAGCTCAATTTTTTATATAGTGAAAGAATCCTGAATGCCTACTATTTGCAAAACCTTGCCTTTTCCTGGGATGGTGACTTAGTTGGTTAAGCGGCTGCCTTCAGCTCAGGTTGTTATCCCAGGTTGCTGGGATCAAATCCTGCATGGGGTTCCTTGCTCAGCGAGGAAGGAACCTGCTTCTCCCTCTACCTGCTGCTCCTCCTGCTTGTGATCTCTGACAAACAAATAAAATCTTAAAAAAAAAAAAAAAAAAAAAAAAAAAAACCTTGCCTTTTCCGACTTTGCTTTTGCATTTTCATAGTTATAATTTTATTAATGTTATTACAGAACATAGCTTTAGCCCATTTAGTTAAAATATATACAAGTTTAAGCCGCTGTGCTATGACTTAGACTGATGGGCTAAGGGTACTGGACCAGGTGTTAGGGGTAAGAATTTACTGATGGGCAGACAGGCCACATCTGAAATGAGTTATGGATTACGAACAAGGTAAATGTCTGGTCTCAAAGCTTATAATCCAAATGTGATCAATTAAAATAGTCAAACTTATATGTAAATTCTTATACTTTGCACCTTGCATATATATGCTACATGGAAGCAGAGTTTGATCTCAGGAGTTGAAAGCAATAGTTCACCAAGCTGATTTTAGTATTAAGTTGGGAATGGTTTTGTGAAATTCCTGATTTGTTTCCCTTTTATCAGAAATAGTGTGTCCATGGCTGTAGGCATCTCTCTGTCTTGGTAAAAATCAGTGAGAAGAGGTTTTTATTATTGATTGGGCTTATGTGGGGTGATTTTGGAGACAGTTTAAACAAGCAAGGGTTCTTCTAGTTTGGGTGCTTTCAGGAAGCAGGAACGGTTTGATGACTGATAATAAGAATGAAAAAAAAGAGCTGAAATTTTCAGTGGAAAAGAAGCACTCATGTTAGTTGGGAGATCACTATAGCTGGTGATTTGTGTATTTACTTATATTCTGTCCTTGTCTATATTCATACGTGACAGCAGTCTTATTTTGTTTCATGACGGTAATGAAGTGACCTCGGATGATGTTCATTTTCTGTGAAATTTTTTATGTTTAGGAGGGGATGCAGTGATCTAGTTGTTAATTACTAGATAGGCCATGACATTGAGGCTCTTTCTGTTTTTGCTTTGGGGTTTTTTTTGTGCCTTTTTCCTCCCAAGAAAATAAAGTTATGATATCACAAGAGTGTGGTTCCAGTATGACTAGAAGGAAGGGTACATGTGGGTATATGAAGGAAACTGAAGCAGAAGAGTAGAAAGACAAAATAATGTTTATGTGTAGATTTTTAACAAAGCTGATAATGATCAGATTTGTTTCAGGGAAGTCATCTTAAAACAGAATAGTGATTCATTACAGGAAAGTAACACTGGGAAGGAGAGTAATTTGAAGGGTCTTTCAGTTATCTTTATTTCAGAATAATGGGGGTGTCTACCAAGGCTATGATAGAATAAAGAGGAAGTAATTTATTTAGCTGTTAGAATTGATAGGCCTTGATTGCTGATAGAAGTAGAAGTGGTGAAGGAGGGGGAAAAAGTCAAGACTGATCACTTATGTTTGACTTGTATGACTGGTTATACAAGTAACTATCAAAGTAACTAATTGTTACTTTAATAAAATAGAGGATTATTAATAATAAAATAAATATCAATTAATAATTTATAATACAATTTATTGAATTAATGATTAATATTAAATAATATGATTTAATATAATTTATTAAATTATTAATAAATACTTAATAAAATAGAGAAAGAGAAGGCTTGGGAAAAAATAACGAGTTCACTTTTGAAAATATTAAATTGTGTATGATATACTTAAGACAAAATATCCAGAAATCAGTTGGACGTAAATTTTTCCCTGATTGGGAAGTACTAGTTTATAAATTATAGGTTTCCCTGCTATCAGAAGAGCATTACTGTGAAACCTTTCATAAGCCTAAATGGCATAAAGCAAAGAAACAGTTACCACTAATTTATATAAAAACTTCTTTAACCATTCCCAGACCCCAAAAATGACTTCTCTTAGACTTTTCTGATACCTACGGACACATCTTGCTAACAGAAGCACAGTTAAATTGTGATAAAGCACAGTTGCTCGCAGGAGCAGTTCAGAGCTGTGGAGGCCTGGTGCTGAGCCGCTGAGTGTAGTTCCCCGGAAAGCCGCTGAGTGTAGCTCCCAAGGAAGCCTCTTGGCCGGGCCACTCTCGCTGCTCAGGGTATGAGGCCTCTGTAATGACTCGCTGCAAAACAAATGCTGAACACTATTTTCATTTTTCACCTTTATTCATAAAAGTCAACATCCTCGTTGATTTCTTTTGGTTAGCAAATAGATACTAATGTGGGTCTTTTGTTAAAAGTAAAGTGCATAATTCAAAAACTGACAAAGTGGGAGATACCTGTATAGTTAAATGGCAAAGGACCTAACTAGTTCTCTTAATGCAGTCAGGTCATAATTCTCCAAAGTTGGCAGTGAAAGCTTAATGGTCATATGGAGAGAGTTGGCTAAAAAATCTAGATCTTAGAGATCTGCTTTCTTCACAGAGGTCTATTAGTGGCGACTCGGAAACTCCCCTTCAGGGCCATTACTCTCCCCTTTGCTTTCTAGCCTGAGCTTAGTTACCAGTCTTTTCTCAAATCTCCCATAGCACAGCTAAGAAACCATTACATTTGTACAAGGAAGACTGTACTAGAGGCTCAGGAACGCAATAGGAAAAATCGTCACAGAAAGTAATACACACTTAGCTGATCTGGCTATCACATGTGGCTGGTGTGCAGTATATGCCCCTGTAATCTCTGGAATGCTGTATATGGCTCTCTGAATAGCCCCCTAGCCTGCCTAATACCAGGTTTCTCCCATCATGAGGTACACCCTTGAAGGCTAGATAGATACCTCCAAGGCTAGGCCCCAGAAAACAGCAGACAGAGCCATTCCTTCACCTTCTACTCTGTCTTCCCACTCTTTATTTCCTTTCCTTGGACTCAAAACCCACCTATTTTTGAACAGCTTAATTCAGAAGTGTCCTTTCAAAGGACTTCTCTCTATTCATAGAAAATAACCCAAGATTAGGGAGTGGTAGATAGAGTTCCTACCTAGTGTCAAGTTATTACTTGAAATTACCTATTGCCAGCAGCCCCTGCTAAAAGACCTGGGGGTAGCTAATCTACCATGTGATCTTGACCCAACTGGATCAAAAGTAGACACCCAACCCAGGGAATACCAATCCAAAAGGTGTTGAGCCTGGAATGGGGTGGCCATTTTGTTGAAATTCATGTTGATAAGCCAGCAGAGGAATGGAGTAAATAAGTAATAGAAGTAGACAAAAGAGCCTTTCTCCCTTTGAGATGAAAGTAAAAGTCTAGTTGTTTCCGTCCTCAGGTGGTAATACTTTTTTCCTAATTGAGGTTGTCTGTGTAGGCTTACAATAAAACTGTCCTATGTATACTACCTTAAATGGGTGTCTTTTTTTTTTTTACCTTGATTTTGCAGCCATATGTATCTTGACTAAAACATAGGGCTAGATTTAATAGCAGCATGTCTTATCTATGATGTTTTATAATTGATTGAGTTGTAGGAAAACTTTACCATCATTTATTGAGTGAATGGTATCGGCATACTGGAACTGGAAAGTTGTTCAGTTCTTTAGGAAAAAAAAAACCTGTAAACCCCCCCCTTTTTTCCCCATGCATATTTAGGATAGAATATTTCTTGATTTTCAAAAAGTATAGTCAGTGTTAGTAATAGTTACCACCACTTTAAGAAAACTATATAGCTGAGTCAGTAGCTTATACTTAAAAATTGTGAACTTGCCTATTTATTCAATTGATTGCTGTGATAAAGGCAATAGTACCTTTTGGTCATTTTTATTGGCCTGTTTTGAACATCTAGTTCTCTATGTCTAGGTCATTATCTTAAAAGAATAATAGAAATTTATCTGGGTCTACACCAGTAGTCATTTCATATTAAAATGTCTATTTCTCTTCAATATATACATGAAATTTTTAGATATGACTCCACTGTGAAAGGAAAAGGTAACCTAAAAATGAATTTCTCCACAGCTGGAAAAAGAAAAGAGGAGAGGCAAACAAGTATTCCTCTATCCTCTGGCTATAGTACGGTGTCATCAGATGGAACTCCCAGAACCTCAGCTGGTAGTTACTGTGGTTTGAAAGAGAATTCAGAGGTAAGAAAACTGGCAGCTGCTTAGATGGTTTCCTTTCTAAGGTCCGAACGAGCAAGCATTAGATTTAGTTGCAGATGCCATTGGCAAGAAAAAATAGTGAAACTGTAAATCTTAATCTCTCGTAAAAATTCTTTATGATAAGTAAATAGTACTTAATGCAATGTTTTAGAATGTGTTTTATATGTTCATGGTCCATCTTTGATGATGGTTTATTTTGAGAAATTGCCTAAATTTGTTGCTTTTTAAATTAAAGGAAACAACAATCCAGAAAATGGAAAGGATGAAAAAAATGTAAGTAACAGAAAGGGGCAACAGAAATTCATTTCTCTATAGGGAATTGTATAGGATTACAGTATATATGGAAAGTGCATGTGTGTTTCAAACCTTAAAGGTCTCTCAATCAGGTGTGGGATTCCCTTCAGGACTCCAGTGGGTAATAAATCCACCTACAGTTACGTGTTTGTGAGATGAGTCACTGTTTTGGTTTCCAACAAGTGATGTAAAACATTGTTAATGGAATTAATTGTGGGATTAAGCAGTGCAAAGATATTTGTGGTTGAAAGTTAATCAAGGGTATTATGTACTTTTGATAACTAATGTAGCAAAATATTTAATATATGTCGGTGGTTGGTTTGGAGACATTTTAAATATTATTAGAGTATTGCCAGTCTTTCAGACAGCTATTGGTAAAGCACTACTAAAAATGATACTTGTTTCTTGTACAAATGTGGAACTACCAATGGTTATTAAAGAGCAATTAAAAGGAAATATGAAATGAACTTGTGTAAGATTATTATGAAGTCTACTACTTTAATGAACTATATCATTTTGAAATTTGCTAGGTATTAAAATAACTTAGGCCTAAGAATTAAGGACTCATAATTCACTTTGGTTGCTATTTCTCCCCTCTGGCCATAGTATATACTTAATTACTGTTTATACCTTTAAATAAGAAAAATACTAAAATTTATTTTAGGTTCAAAAGCCTAATTTCAGCCACTTAAACCTATGCCTCATTATGAATTTTTTTTTACTTAATATGATTTATTTGTTGTATTGCAGGTTTGAAGAAACCGCAGAGTTACTGAAATGTCCAAATCACTAATTATAGAATTGTCTGCCTCAACTTCTCTAGGACTTTGGCTACTGTACATATTGTATATTTAAGAATTCTCTATAAATTTTAATATGCTACAATGTTTTTATGAAGAATTTGAATTCCATTTGGTATATGAGTTTTTTCAATATTGAATAAATACTTTTTATGCTATGATTACACTTCTTTACTCTGTTTTACTTTTTTAAGAAAAACTTATGTGCCAGTACATTTCTTTTAGAGAGTGAAGTCATTACAGCAGTATGTTTTTGTGTTGACATTTGTTGGCAGTGTGCTAAGTAATATGTTTTTTAAAGTACAGGCTTGTGGACCATGGTTTACATCCTGTTGGAAACATTCCAGCTGGGATTTGCGTATTGTACCCAGGAGGCTCTCATGCATACCATCTTGCCATCTGTACTGACTAATATGTTGTAATGAAAAGTTTAAAATGCTCATTGACAATTAAATAAAAATACAATTTTATGCTTAATCAAAAAGCAGTAATACATTTTTAGTTAACATTGAAAAAGTGAGAGTCTGATTTTCTTTTTGTATTTGGCAACAGGTAAGAAAGTTCACCACGAAAAGTGTGTTGAGTATTTTAGTGCTCTATTCCATAACACATTTTAAGACCAGCAATACAGACACAGATGGTGGCCATCCAATATTACAAGATACACAGTATGGTTTTTTGTTTTCTTTTAAGTGATGGGAAGTTATATATTTTTCTAGAGAGAGAAAAGGTCTTAGATGAAGTTAAATCAAGAGAAAAATGAAATTCACTTTAAATTACTATATACATTACTAGACAGATGATCTTTTTAAAAATGTTGTACGTAAAAAATGTAATAACGGGCCTGAGAAATTCTTAAGAAAATTGATTCCATTATTTGGAAGGAAAAAAGGAGGTTTTTTTTCCTTTTTTATTATTATTTAGATTATCTGATTGTATTTTACTTATTTATTATCTGTTTATATTCTGTGTGTAATTTGATATTGTCACATGAGACTAAACATTAAAAGTTAATATTAACATTATATTCGCTGTAGAAATAAAGCATTTTTAGTATTCTAATGTGTTCAGTCATTAAACTTTAAAATTTATGAATTTTAAAAGTTAGCATACAAGCCTAAATTTAGTAGAATTTCAGCAAATATTTCTAGGATTAATGAACCCACTTAGATTTTTCCATTATAAAAAAAATTACAGAAATCAAGATTAAAAGATTTTCTTGTAAAAGAAAAATCTATTAACTTCTAAACTATCAGTACCAGCATGGAATTATAGCTCCACCTTGTGGTTCATATGTCAATATTTTACCTTCTATTAAAACAGCGGGTTTCCTATAAAAACTTATTTTATATTTTCTCTTTTAAAAAACTCAATTTAGGAAAGAAATATTTTAAGTTTTCTTGTGCAACACAGAAGAAGAAGTCTTCTTTTCTCTTTGTCTTTTTCTTGCCTCCCTGTCTGTTTTATATAGCATACATACACAGTTGACCCTTCTACAACACGGGTGTGAATGGCCCAGAACCGCATAGGTCCACTTGTACATGGATTGTTTTTACAACACAGTACTGTAAATGTATTTTCTCATCTTTATGATTCTTTTTCTTTCTTTTTTTAAAAAAGATTTTATTTATTTGAGAGAGAGAGAGAAAGCTCTGAGAGGGTGAGAGGGAGAAGCAGACTCCCTGCTAAGCAGGGAGCCTGATGAGAGACTTAATCCCAGGACCCTGGGACAATGACCAAAGCCAAAGGTGACGCTTAACCGACTGAGCCACCCAGGTGCTTTCTTCCTTATGATTTTCTTAATAACATTGTTGTTGTTGTTTTCTCTAGCTTACTTCATTGTAATAATACCATGTATGGGGTGCCTGGGTGACTCAGTCGGTTGCCTTCAGTTTAGGTCAGAATCCTGGGGTCCTGGGATGGAGGCCCACATGGGGCTCCCTGCTCAGTGGAGAATCTGCTTCTCCCTCTCTTTCTGCCTCCTTCCCCTGCTCATGCTCTGTGTCTCTATCTCTGTCTTTCAAATAAATAAATAAATCTTAAAAAAAAAAAAAAAGAATGCAGCATGTGGTACATATAACAAAAACAATGTGTTACATCAACTTTGTGTCATCGGAAAAGATTCTGGTCAACAGTACCTATTAGTAGTTAGGTTTCTGGGGAGTCCAGAGTTAAATGCAGATTTGACTGCATGGACAGTAGGCTCCCCAACACCTGTGTTGTTCAAGGGTCAACTGTATATACAATTAGATTATTTGAAACTTCTTTAATTTGAATTTACATACAGTATACAAAATATAAATAGCTATTGAAAATATAGTGAAAGATGTCTTACATTATCAAGTGGAAATTTGGAATCCAATTAAAAAATATTTTTATGTAACAACTCGAAACAAAAAGGGGTAAATCAACTCATATTAACACTATACATCTACACTTACAAAGAATCTCAGTACTACCCTGACAACACAATCTTTGCAGAAAACAAAGCTATTTTGACTTTGTTGAAGTTATTGAAGAGCCAAATTATTTCTTAGCTCCTCTAGAAATAGTAGAAAAGTTTTCTCTCATAATTTGGTAAGTAGCTTGTAACCTTAAACCCTTTTTGATTAACTTGAGGGCCTTGAGAAAATGAGAGAAGAGAATCCCGGAGAGATTATTTGGAGCTACGTTATTAAAGTCTTAATTAATTGGAATTTTCACTAACTCCATTCCCTTAATTCTCCCATAACCTGGATAAAATGTATTTATTATACTACCAACAAAAACATCTGCAGCTTGTGCTGCTCTATCTGTACTATACTTTGTGAATAGGTCTGGATAAAGATTATTTAGGAACAGTTACATAAAGAATATGTTGAGGTAAAATACTAGTTAGAACAGATTAAAGAAAAGTAACATCAACAATGTGAAAATCCTGGGGGTGCCTGGGTGGCTCAGTGAGTTAAGCCTCTGCATTTGGCTCAGGTCATGGTCTCAGGGTCCTGGGATCAAGCCCCGCATCTGGCTCTCTGCTCAGCAGAGAGCCTGCTTCCCCCTCTCTCCCTGCCTGCCTTTCTGCTTACTTGTGATCTCTCTTTCTGTCAAATAAATATATAAAACCTTAAAAAAAATTTTAAACAGTGTGAAAATTGTAGACAAAGATAAGGATTAATACATTGGAAAAAGTAGCTCTTTTTTTTTTATTCTAGTATTTTTAACATAATGTACGTGGACTAAATATATTCACTGAAAAATAAAACTTAAAGACTTTGGAAGAGTATTTTATAACATTCATTACATGCAGCTTTATATAATTGACAGGCACTTAGGGAAGCATTAAAAATTAAAGGACCTTGTCAATTTTACAGACTACAACACTTTTGGAGCTTAAGTAACAACATTATGGATTCAATTTTTACTTTTTAACAATCCCCAGGTTCATCTGTCCTTTCTTTCAAGCTGAAAGTTGTAGAAAGGGTGAAGAGGTGGAGTAGGGTAAAACTTTAAAGTTAAACTACAAAATTAAATCTTTAATTGTAGTGTTACTTGAGTTTTAATGTTTCTAGTGAAAACTGCAAGTTTCTTATACTATTCACAGAGAGGAGGAAGCTGGAAAACCGGTACTGACAACAGTATCACACTAAGAACCTGCAAATTTATTTGGGATGGTGGTGGTGAAAGTTTATATTAATTTTATAATGGTTTTCATTATAGCTAATAGTTGTAGGAATGGGGACTATATATCATATATGCCTTATTTTTCTCTCTGAAGCCAACTAAATCACTAATAGGAAATTGTAATTTGATTTTTGTGAAAAGGGTTTAGATGCAAAAAGGGTTTTAGATGCTCAACTCAACATTTCAAATTAAGAACAGAAGACTTAAGTATCCCAAACGTGTAAATTATTTGAATTTTATATTATGGATAGGTGGTAAGAAAAAGCAGAGAATCAGTACTAATTACTCAAGAAAGTTGAACTGTGGAACTTAGAGACATGGGAAAGCTGAATGTCGTGGCCTAAGTCCTAATTTATAGACCCAATCATTCAGTTTCCTCAAGTTGATCTGTACCACTTGGACAGCAATCAATTTATGAACTCATTGGTTATAGATCTCCAGTTTCTTTGGTGTTGAAATCCTGAAAGACATGAGCTAGAATTATAAAGACATGCACATAGATATGCACTAGAATTATTCTATACCTGTTTTTTAAATGTCTTTTGATCATCCCAATGGATGGAACCATAGGTCTCTCCATCTACTACTGCTTTTCACTTTTGTGGTGTATCAGTAAAATTTACCCGCCCAAGTTCCTTCTTTCTGGGTCCTCACTAGACAGTGTTTCTACTTCTTTAGTTATTTTGCTTGCCTCTGAAACTAACTTCTGAGATTCTTTAAGAACGTATCCTTGTTAGGATATTTATGAAAAAGTTTTTTAAAATAAAATATTGACTGGTTAGTGATTATTATAAAAGTGTAAAACTCATTCAAATTAAAATGGTGCCATGATTGATCATTTCTAGGCACATTACTTCTGACTCACTTTCCATTTCTCTCATCCCCCACTTTGGTGAAGAAATTAGCAAAAAAAAAAAAAAAAAAGAAAAGAAAAGAAATATGTGTTAGCTTCTCTAAATCCTAATTCAGGTAGTTCAGTTTTTTGCTTGCTTTACAAAGTGACAGTTGCTATCAACACAATACAGAATCTCACTCAGCCAGATGACTACTCCTAATCCCACTGCAAATCCTACCCTTTATACTATTTTACCCATCAAACTCCTTTCCCATCGCCACTGCATTCCCACTTCTGTTCTTTGTTTGCACTGTTCACTAATCTTCTCTGCTTATAGCCTTGCCTCCTTTAATGTAGCCACACTGCTAGGAAAGTGTGTTTTTTGAAGTTTTTCTTTGATTATGCTGCGCTGCTCCTTAATATGTTCTTTAAATTTCTCTTATTCCTGCTGAGCAAATCCCAAACTTCTTACCCTAGACAGTGAAGATCTTTTTCTTTAAAGTCTCATCTACATTTCTAGAGTCATCATCTACACATCTACTGTCTGTATACATAGGACTCTTTAGCCGTGCTTTTGCACACTATTTCTTTGTTTTGTTTTGTTGTTTTGTTTTATTTTTTTAATCTTTTTTTTTTTAAGATTTTATTTAATTATTTGGCAGAC